CCCGGGCCGCTGGAGGCCGGGCGAGGCTCGGCCCCGCACTCGCGCCCGCGTTTCAGGAGCGCGGTTTTGTATTAGTCTTGCAAATATTAATGCTTGCAGAGTGGTCACAGAAGCCTTGAGGGGGGCCTAGGGGGCTGTGTCACAGCGCTAGTTCTGTGCAGTCCAACCCGTGGAAGGATTTCCATGAAAGCTAACTCAACTCACTGCAAAATCCAGGACAATACAGAATCCACTCGTACACTAAAACCACTAAGGTAGCTTTCATAAACCACTTCATCAAAAGCCATGCCTGCGCACCGAGCTACAGGCCATTATCCCTGTAACTCACCGAGGAACAAAATGGAAGCTGACAATTTGCAGTGTATCTGGACGAGGGGATAGGAGCAAAGCGCGAGCTGAGAATGCCTACTTCTTCGGAACAACGCTTGGCCAGATCCGCAACCCCTGAGCAGAAAGCGGGGGCGGTTTCAGTCCCTTCACCGTGGCACAACTCAAACCGGCAGGGAGAGGCAGAGGAGAAGGTTCACCGCAGGCGGAAATGCTCTGGCGCGTTGCCTGGTCCCACTATTTGCACTTACCTTTACACAATGAGGATAGCTTTGTTCTCATCAGCTTTATGTCAGTGCTCCTGTTGAAACAATAGACAATTTTTAGTTTTTGTAAGGAAAGACAATTAAATCAGTAACACTAAAAATAAGCTGTAGCAGATTTCAAAGGTGCTAGTTTAAAAGCTGAGCTCATTACCCTTAAAGTGAAAATATGACCTACTCTTCGGTTGCCCTAAGGATGAAGTGGTATTATAGCTGTGACGGTTCAACAATGTAGTCTGGCAAAACTCTCAGGGAAAGGTAAGATCTCTTATTCATGAAATTTGAAGAAACCAACAAGTTTTTGAATGTACAGACTGTTCTTACAGAGGAAAATACTGAGTCAGGCCACACAGTTAAAGAAAACTCTCTCCCCTGAGAGAAATAATTCATCAAATGTGGCAACACACTAACAGCACAGATTAAACACTTACTGGAAGAGTTGTTGGACACTCATCTGCCCCATTAAGTAGCATTTGTTCTCAAATAACAGGAGATAGCACTAGAGCTCTCTCTCAAGATCTTCAGACTTATGTTGATTTTCTTAATATTTTCCTATGTTGTAACATGACTATGTTGTGCCATTCAACCTCTTACCAGACTTGCTGATTCAAAGCAAAGGCCGTATGGGAAAATACAGCATTACTAAGGCTTCAGATTTGTTCTCCTTAGCAACTCTTCTATCTGTCAAGCTGTTAAGTGTTTCTAGCCGTTAATCAAAACTGCTAAAGCTCAGTCATGTTATCTTACCAGAATTGATCACTGGAACAACGAGAAGGAGCGTCTTGTTCTTATCACGGATTGGTCCCTCCTGATCTGCAAATACAACTTCATCAGCCTGCAGTGCCAGCACGTGACGAGGATAGCCCTCAGTGCAGTTGATACCATCTCAGTAGGAGAGTTTGAGTTCCCACCTAAATCTCTGAACAAGTAAGTTGACATAGTAATACTGCAATGTTATTGTAATTCTTATATTGTTATTGTAAATAGTTTGAGCTGTCAACCTTTGTCACTGACCATGGGACAAGTTTGAGAATTTTTCCTTTTGCTCATGTAACGTTGTAAACAATTACTGAAGCTTCATTAGACCACCTCAGAGTAGCTGCTGTTTTGTTGGGACAGTTAGTAGTTACGTTAAAAGCAAGTTGCTCAAGGACTTTCAAGATAAGATGAATAGATTTGGGAGTAGTTCATTGCCATTATATAATGCAGTAAGTAGTAGCAGTAGTAGTACCACCTTAGCATTACTAGAAAGCCGCGTGTAAATGTCCGGTCGTACGTAAATGCAGGCTGTCACAGGCAACACAGTTCAAGCATTGTGTCCTAGGTGTCTAACGAGATTAACCTTTTTGCACTTAACTTACAAGAATGTACCTTTGCATATTTCAGGGGCTGAATTCTTCTATTACTGTTCTAGAGGAAAAACTTACTATCAAACTTAAATTTCAGCTTCTAGTTTTAAGTAGGTCTTTTTCAGACAGTACATTTCTAATTAAACTTGCCTCAGACTCCAAAGTCTTACCATGTTAATTCTGCTGTCTCCAATATCAGGCGAGAAGGCATCGGTATTCGAATTCAGTGGGACAAACAAAATCGCGCCTCCTTCATAAACAGATGGAACCCGTGGTCCACAAACATCCCGTACGTCACCTTCACCGAACATCCAATGGCAGATGCAGATGAGAAGATTGCATCCCTTTGCCTAGTAAGGACGTCACCTCTCCTATTCTAGATGGCTTGTTGATCTCATAGGCTGGAAGAGCTGTAAGCTACATTTCCCCATTCTCCAAATTTTGACTTGCAGGGCAGCCCAACTGTCAGTTTTTGCCAGCGACCCACAAATGGTTTATACAAGAAGGAAGCTGAAACTTCCAAAAGTGCAGAGTCCTGTAAAACCCAAAAGAAAATGGATCTTGGTGCTATTCGTACTCTTGCTTACCTGACAGGCCAACGCTTGACTTTTCATGTAGGACTGCAGCTAATTAAACAAATAGTTTAATTGCTAACTGAAAACCTTTACTTAGGTGGTTGTCAGTTTTTCTTGCAATAGTTGTTTTCCTCTGAAGGTTTCCTTAAAAATAGAACACTATGGTAATTTAAGTTCAACACTTCCATGATAAGGGCAAGAGAACTACAGTCAGAAATAAACAATATTAGTCACCAGTAAATCTTTACACATCTAGCCCATGTGTTTAAGTTAATGTAAATAGTGTCCTGGTATGAAGTGAACAGTTATCAGTAAGGTTAAATGTCAGAATGCAAAGTTTATCACGGCATGTGAGATTCATGACAACTACAGCTTTAGTGTTAATCCTTTACAATTCAACATCAGCAGCTGTTTGCCTAACAATTTTTAAAGCAATGGAAAAACATCAAGGTGATTTTTTTCTTTCAGTTGGAAAACTTTAAAACTCAGCTAATTCAAGCTGCGAAGAAAGCCCATAAGGAGTGTCCGTTGCCAGGAAGGGCTAATGGCGTGCTAGTGCTGGAGCGTCCTCTTCTGATCGAGACCTACCTGGGATTGATGTCCTTCATCAACAATGAGGCCAAACTTGGCTACGCCATGACAAGAGGCAAAATTGGATTTTAAAATTCATTGCATTTAATCTTTTCAAGGGAAAGTGATTTGATATTAGTCTCCTGGGGAGAGCACGCTGTGTGGCAGAATACTCGATAATCAAAGTGAAGAAGATAGGGGAACAAAAGGGGGTGGTTTTAGATCTAACAGTTCATGGGAGGCCCTGGTTGTTACGGAGAATGCACAGGTCAGATTAATCTGAAGCAGACACAAGGCAGTGTCATTCTTACATTTTGTATCTAATTTACAGTTCTTACTGGTTCTTATACAGGGCTAGTGATCAGTGGTATTTTTGATTTCTAACTACATGTTCTTCCCTGTTAATTAAGTGCGATTGCTATCTGCTACAAACACTCTGCACAAATATCCAAGATACAGTAGAATGTTCATGCCGTATTACAGTTTTATCCCTTTATATGGTGCAAAATCATGTAGTGTGCTTGGGGTTGATTTGTATTGTTTAAAGAGGTATTAGTGTTCACAACTACAGTAATCTTAACATTTTGATTAATGCCTGTTAAGCATTTTGAAAGCTGTGTCAGTCATTCTTTAGCAAAACAGAGTCAGCAAATTTTGTTAAAGCTGTACTGTTACGTCTGCTCAGAAGCAGTGTACATGAACTATTACTTTGTAAACTGAAGTATATGGCTGAATGTGTTTATTAGCTTTTTGTAAAAATACCTCCCTCTAAGAACTGAGTCTAACTTCCTAGTTTCTTATGTATGTTTTCTTGCTCCAGCCATAGAATAAACTCTTTTGAGAGAATATTGCCAAAAGCCTCACAAACACATTTGCCTTCAAAGCTATTATTTATAAAACTGAAAAGGAATTCTATTTTGATTAGATTTATATTCTTAGCAATTTTTCTTAAATTTACTCTAGTTTGGGACAGCAGCAGTGCAGGACTTTTTAACAGAGACAGATATAACTTTAAGCACTGTACGTCAATCTTTATTTATACATCCTTGCACTTAACCTCATACAATTTCAGTAATGAAATTCAGAAGCAGCATAAGAGACACTACAACTGAAATTGCTCGTGAGGTTACTCTAACAAGCATTTTCATTGTGTATGACCTTGTACATGTGCCATTTTATCAGAGCATTTATCTGCGCAACTACAATGCTGAATAAATGCTGTGCTGCAGTGGTGTTTTTTTGAACTTAAAGTAGATGTGTTTATGAAACTTATGTAAAGCTGAAGCCATGATGGAATGCAACCAGTTGCATGCCCCTCTCAATGCATTTTCTAAGGTACCTATTTAATTTTCATTAATCTTGCAGTAAAGTTAAATTTCATCTCAATTTGTTCTTCATTCTTCATTTTGTGGAGACTGAGGCTGTGAAATTAAGTAGCAAAAGAAAAAAAATCCAATAAATTCCTAAACAATGGGCTCCCTTCCTTTGAAGAACACAGTGGCTAGCTACTCAGGTTAAAGATAAAGGATAGTCGAACTGCTCTTTTCCTGAAAAAAAATGTCCACTCCAATTTGGCACTAGATAGTTGTGTCAAAAGCTCGCCTTTCAGTTGCCTGTAATATATCATTTAAAGTATCAGTTATGATCCTTCTTGTAAAGATTCAGTATAATACATTTATGGTAGACTAGGCACAATTACTGATACCTGTTAACATCTTAGTCTGGAGAAGCAAAATTATTACAGACGACTTAATTTGCTTTCTGAACAAATAACTTTTGCTTTAACAGTAATTGATTTGCTAGAAAGCGTCTTACTGATGTGTCTACTTCTGCTACAATATTTAATTCTAATACACCAGAAAAATCTGTTGTCTTACAAGACTAGATATAAGCTGTACACTATTGTGTGCAAATAACTGTTTCCTTGTGCTGGGGTAAATAGCTATGTAATCACATAACTGATAATACAGAAACAAACTTTAGAATGGAGAAGTGCAGGTTTATAGTTAGAGTCATACCAAGTTTGTAACTATCAAAATATTTATTGGAAACTATAAAATTTAAATAATATAGCTATACATTATATACACACACAGCTACAATTTTAGAAAATAAGGTTTCATAGTTGACAAAGTTCAAGAGAAAGTTCAACTACATCAATATTAAAGTTTTCTTGAAACCCAGAATTCATTCTCTACACTTCAGTTGCTACGTCACTTCATTCAAATGCAATCACAGTACTTCACACAGTGGAGTTTGGGTATGCTCCATCAAATAAATAACTTATAGATACAAAAACTTCAGATCGGGCAACAGGGTGTGACCCCTTTCCTCATTCTTCCTCAAACTTGTGAGCATTTTTAATGCAAATGATTGTTATTTTACCTCTTCTCTTTCTAAGTAACACACACAAAAGCTGTCCTTACTCAGAAGTGCCATGGAGTCTCCACTAGAATGCCAGGAGAGAGAGACGATCTGGAAGTCACCTGCAGAAACAGATCAAAGTTTGTCAGCAAGAAGCTGACAGTCCATCCTCTTACTCTAGGAAAAGGCAGCTGGAGTAAGTCACATGCAAAAAATACCCTCCCCACCTTGAAAGCCTTAACAGTGTGTTTGATTTTGTAACTGCTGAAGTAGAGCCAATCTGTTCTCCAATACAGCAGTGCAGATAAGCTGCATTACTGACTCTT